AACAAAATAGAAACAGGTCTGATAACATAACATGATCCCATTATTGCTGAGGTAGGAGGGGGTGAAGAAAAGAGGAGAGATTGAGAGTGCTTACTTACCCTCTCTACTCTCATTTTTCAGGTATAGTCAGGGCCACGATGGGAATAACAAGGGGAGGTATAAGTGATTTTTTAAGTTTATTTATTTTGAGAAAGAAAGAGAGAAAGAGAAGCAGGGAAGGGGCAGAGAGAGAGAGGGTGGGGAGGTAGGGATAGAGAGAATCCCAAGCAGGCTCTACACTATCAGCGCAAAGCCCTATGTGGGACTCAAACTCATGAATGTGAGATCATGACCTGAGCCTAAACAAAGAATCAGATGCTTAACCAACTGAGCAACCCAGACACCCCCAGCGATTGGGTTTTATAGTTGGAGATAAGTTTTCTAAGACAGACAGAGAAACATGGGCTATTACAAACGTGGGAAAATGCAACTATGCTGTTAAATCTCGCTGTATTGAGATAGCAGTGTCCCTACTGAAATAATTTTAATGCAAACATGCCAGCCTGAAAGGAAGAAGTCATCTCTACAGTTGGGCTCTGCTCTTCCATCTTCCATTCAGTTTTATTTTTCTCCCTGCCCCTAGTGTTTACTGAGGATAGAGACAATGGATACAAAACTTTTAAGTTTTGTCACAGACAACGTAAGGACATTTAATTTATAGTTACTTCATGTTCTTTCTCAAAATTCAAATCATCCAACAAAATTAGTGATTAAAATGCAAAATGAACGGAATCAAAACTTGTAATATTAAATGAGATTCTATTTAAAGGATGTATAAGTGTCCCCCCAAATTGTACTTCCTTATGTTGTTCCACAAATTTGAGCAGATTAAAATTCTCAATTTTCCTTCTGTATTTCCCCCTGGTTGGTTTTAGGCAGGGTGAATATTCATTCTCGCAAAAATACACAAGTACACAAATACACTTGCAAAACAAGACAAGGACCTGTCTCAGGAGAGCTGAGCATGTTGCCTATATCTACTCCTTTCATTATGTGTAGCCATGGGCACACCTTGAAATACTTGCTCCCAGTTACCAAAGACCCCTCTTTTCCCAGTAAAAGCCTTTATGCTGCTTTCAGAATTATTTGCCTACAATTTCCTCTCTTCACAGTTGAATTTTAAACAGATGATACAGACTTTTCTGTGATTGGTTTGCATTGCTTTGCATTTGGTGTCTTCATATACATCTTTTCCACATCAACATGTGGCTTTCTGGTGTTCTGTAGAGTTTCACTGAATGGCTGCCGTGTATTTAATCAGTGAGCTACTTAAAATTTTTAGTTTACTCTTTAATCTTTATGAACAATGTGTAATGAAATTTTTTATTAAATCTTTGTAGACTTGCTATTATACCATTAAGATATTTTTTTAATGTGGATTTAGTTTTGAGAGAGGAGGAGAGAGAGTTAGAGAGACAGAGAGAGAGAGTGAGCAGGGGAGGGAGAAAGATAGAGGGACAGAGAATCCAAAGCAGGCTCTGTACTGACCTCAGAGAGCCTGATATGGGGCTTGAACTCATGAACCATGAGATCATGACCCGATATGAAGTTGGACTCTTAATTGACTGAGCCACCCAGGCACCCAGTAAGATAATTTTTAGAAGTGGAATTCTTGGGTGAAGGGAATATGCCCCCCGCCATCCCAGATTGCAGGCCTGTTTTCTGTTATAGGTATTTCATATTGCAGTGTAACACATACAGAAGAGTGCATAAATTATCATTCTAGAGCTTGATGAGCTTCCCCAGCGTGAACATATTTCCATAGCCTACCTGGGTCAAGAATCAGAATATTACCAGAAATAGAAGCCACTTCTATCCTTTTCTTGTTGCCATACCAAAGGGTAACTGCTTACTGATTTCTAAGGCTATAGATTTTTTTTTTAACTTTATATAAACAAAATCATATGGCATATCTTCTTGTTCCTGGCTTCTTTTTGGTACACGTATTTAAAATATTTGATAGTGCATTAACTTTCCATCCCTTACATATTCTTGGCCTCTCAGCAAAATTTGACACCACTGACCATCCTTGTTTTGATGTTTTTCTCCTTTCTGTTTGGTGACAGTCACCTTCTGGCTTTCCTCCTGTCTTTTGCTATTCCCTTTCCTATTTCAGAACCTTCCCTTTCACTCAACCTTAGATTGTTGATGTCCTCAAGGCCCTGTCCTAGGCATCCTCAGCCAAATACATGGCTTTGATTACCATCTTTGTTCCTACAACTTCTAAATTTAAACCTCGGTTACAAACAACTTCCGTGAGACACAACTTGAGCCTATCACTTAATAGGTTTCAAAACTCAACATCCCCAAACTGCTCCCTGTTGCTTCCCACCTGGTGCTGTTTCAGTATTTCATATCTCAGTGAAAAACACCACTAGCCATGGGTTTCACTAAGTAGACACCGAGGGGGCATTCTTGACATTTCTCTCTCAGTATAGGCTGCAGTCATGAAATCCTGACACCTTTTCCTCCTAAATACCTCTGGTAATGGTTCCCTTCTCACCAACATCATTACCAGCATTCAGATCCAAGCTAAACTTGCATCATCTCTTACCTAGACTATTGCACTACCCTCGTGATGGTTTACAAATGGATGAATAGTCTGCTTAAAAAACTCAACAGTTTGTGTATTTATTATGCTGAAGTTCCTTAAATCAGCATTAAGGACCCAGTCCCTTCTGACTTCTTGAGTCTCTCTCTTCTTGCCTATCTCTCCTGACTCCAGAAATTGCTCCACATATTCCTTAAAAGAGTAAGACACAGGGTTGAAAGTTGAACAATTATATCCAACATGGTTATCTGGAAAATAAATTTTAAAAATATATAAACTTACAGTGAAAATTGATAGGAAAAAAATCTCTTTCAAAATACAGAGACCGTTTTGGGGTGGGGGTGATGGTGAAAAATTCAGAAAGCAAAGAGATAGATAAAAGAATAATTGCCCCCAAGGAGTTTCAAGCTGCTTGGAGCCAATTAGTATAACGAGTAACACTGCAGGCTTTAGAATCTGACAAAATCTGGTTCTGATAATGACGTGCCCTGTTAAGATCTACATAACATTTGCAGAGTCATAACCCCTCTAAGCCAGAATTCTCAAAATAAAACAATTCCTATCCTTCCTGATGATTAAGTTATAGATATCTACTATTTGGCACAATTATCAGTACATAGTTAAATTTTAAATAAACTGTAGGCAATTATTATTAAGAGTAAAGTAAGGCTATAATATTATTGCCATATACCAGGTAGGAATAACCCTTGTTTAATCAATGCTAAACATAATGAGCATCCCTGGGGCAGAACTTTAGACCATATTCTCCCAAGAGTTTTATGGACTCTGATTACTTGGTGCCCTTCCCTCTGGGACCAAGGATAAGTGTCCAGGTAACCAGTCACTCAGAATGGCTGAATAAAAATAAGCATAAGCATATATTTATTCCCAAGGAGTCTTGTTTTTTTTTTTTTTTTTTTTTTAATTGAAGTTCTCTCTTTCGGTTTGTTTACTTCTCTCAGAATAAACACCTAAAATTGGAGCTTGTCTTATCTTTGTACTTGGGATTTTATGACATCTGTTGGTATAAGAAAACAATATTTTCTCTATGGCTAAGTCAACTGTATAGAGACTAGACAAATCCAACCATCCTGTTTGTGCCTGCTTTTATTGCAAATGGGAGAACACAGCTTGTGATCTTTAAATCTTCCTTTGCAGTCCTTGAAAGATTTATATGTACATACACACACACATGCAAAAGTAATTGGAAACCAAATTTTAAAAAATACTAAGGATAAAAGACTAATGAAAGTATTTATTTAAGCATTTAAATTTCCTTTATAAAAATGATACATAATTTAGTGAAAAAAATAGATTAAAATCAAAATAAGAGTATTCTGGTTTGACGTCTAACACCGATTATCTATATTACCTTGAAGATATAATTTATTTTCCCCGATCCTTAAATTTTTCATATTCAATGCAAGTTTATTATCTTATCAAAATTCTATAAGTTCATACATATGCATATATAAAATATGAAAAGAATGTATATATAGATGTGTGTGTCTATGAAAGTATGTTTATATGCACATCTATCTGCGTGCATACCCACATCCACACCTATATATGCATCTTAATTTCTTATGAGAACACAGATGATAGACAAGGAGGATAGAATAAGGGATAGGTAAGGTCCAGTCTATTCTGAGAGCCTCTGTTTCTGGTATTTAAAACACCCGTATCCTCATTCCTCCATCCAAAACAACTGAGCAGTGGGAAATTTTTAGAAACACAGATTCTCAGGCTCTACCCCAGAGGTCCTGAATCAGGGATTGTGGGGGAGACGCTCCCCCATCTGTGTTGCAACCTGCCTTGCAGGTGATTCTGAAGTGCACTAAAATGTGAGAACCACTGCATTCGAACATTCCCAGGGAAGAACTGTAGGCTAGAGTTGTAAGCAGAAATGAAGAACCAGTAATTAAAGGGGGAAAAGCAAGATATTCTACAGACAAGTTGGGTCAGAAGTGGTAGGAACAGTTTAGGGAGACACAGCAGAGACAGGCACAGGGGAGTGTTCTTTATGGTACTAGGGAGCTGGTATGGTTGTAAAAATACACAAGTGGCAGGAATAAAGCTGCAGCCACATGTTCACCTGTTAAATCGCTGTTTTCATGCAGTCATTTCTGCAATTGTGCTACGAATTGCTGGATTTAGAACGTTTTTCTTTTAATGGATTCCAGAGCAAGATAATTAACCTCTGTTCTCAGCCATAGCTATCTCTGACCCCTCGTTACTTACTGTAGACACCTAAGACAGAAAGAGTTAAGGCTTCTCAGGCTGATCCTGTATGTCTTCTCCATAATGTTTCAATAACCCAAGATTCTTATGATTCTGATTCCCCTCATTGGCAGCTAAGGAATGTATCTATGTTCAGGGAAAGGAAGAAAATTCCTGGAGTTGCAATGGGCTAGAGGGAAATGTGGCCAGAGAAAGTTTCAGGGGTGAGAATAAGCCTATGAAAACGACAAGGCAAGAACTCGGCATGGACACTCTTCATTATGCTTATGGAAGCCATGTTGTCATCCCGGACATTACCCTGACAGGGGAACCCCTGGCTTTGTAACTTCCTGGCCAGTGTGAGGGACACCAGCTTGCAATAACCTTTTCTGCGATGCTCTGGTAAGGTATAGCCATGGCACATGGTGGCAAACTGGTCTGTGAGAGCCCAGGAGACTGGGTTTCCCTTGTCATCGCGGAGACATACACTGGGAAAGCAAGAGATGAGGTTCATGAGGTACCGGAGGCACTGTTCATTGCCACCCCGTGACCAAGTCCTGTTGAGAAGATCAGCGTCAGCAACACTCAGGTAAGTTAGTTGTGGGGAAGAACCCATTCTAGAAGAAAACAACATGAGAAGGCACGTGAATACAAACAGCTACTTCTGTTTCTCCACTGATTCAAACTGAGAAACCATTCCAGAGATCGTGCTTAGCAAATACCAAGGTATTTTAAATGGATTAGAATCTGTCAGTTTCTACTTGTGAACATCATATAAGGTTTCATTTCTGTTAGGACAAAATACTCGTATCAAATTTAAGTCTTTCCTTCTAAATTTATGCCTTTGGGGTAGATTAGGGCAAGTATTTCATTTTTCTATAAAACAATTCTGACTTTTTCTTAAATTTTTTAAATGTTTACTTATTTTGAAAGAGAGATAGAATGTGAGTGGGGGAAGGACAGATAGAGAGGGAGACATCAGAATCGGAGTCAGGCTCCAGGCTCTGAGCTAGCAGCACAGAGCTTGACATGGGGCTCGAACCCACAAACTGAGAACATGACCTGAGCTAAAGTCTGATGCTTAATGAACTGAGCCACCCAGGTGCCCCAGCCAACTTGTTCTTATAAAGTCCTAAGTCTGTTGACACCCTTCTGAAGCCTAAACAACTCCAGATTTTTGGGCCCCTTCATCTTGTCCTTGGCTAAAAAAATTAAAGTATTAGAATAGAACTAATATCTTTCTGCATCCTTGGCTGAAGAGTAAAACAAATTGCTTAACATTCTAGGTATATATAGATGCTCAATAAATGCTAGTTCTAAGCTTCCCTTAAAAGGTCTAGAAAAATGTCTAAAAGTTTATGGTATTGAGATAAAAAGATAGGAATTGGTGCAATTACTAAGAACTGATATCGGATTACTTAGTTGAAAGCTTATGGGGCTGGTTTTGCTGCAGAATTTTCTTTCGTTCTTGAAGTTATCAATGTCCTAAGACCATCCCCTGTGACCATTAAGAGAACTCTTAATGCCATTCTTGATAGGATCTTTATAAAGTACAGGTTTGTGTTTTCATTAGTGGTTCTGCATTGTTAGCTCACATTTTAGGCACACTGTGGGCTCTGGCACTGGGCCAATAGTCTAACCACTCACCAGTCTGTGATAAAAAATAAATAAATATAAGCGAAAGCTGGCTTAATAGAATTTTTAATTTAATTTTTGAAAATGAACTTTATTTTTTTTTTAAGTTTATTTATTTTGTGAAAGAGAGCAAGGGAGGGGCAGAGAGAAAGAGAGAGAGAGAAAAAATCCCAAGTAGGCACTATACTGTCAGCATAGAACCTGACTTGGGGCTTGATCCCATGAATCGTGAGATCATGACCTGAACTGAAATCAAGATTTGGTAGCTTAACCAACTGAGCCAGCCAGGTGCCTAGAAAAACTTTAAAACAAAGGCTGAGAAACCTAAGGCAAAGAAGGCTCAGGCAGAAATATCACTGTAAATAAAAACATTGCTAAGACAAGTATTCCAGGAATAATTGCATTAGTAGTTATATATATGACTTTGTATCTGAAGGGCAGGGTATCCAAAATAAAGAAGATATGAATTTTGATAATGACCTAGGTGCTAAAGTATCTTCCTATGCAGAAGGGAGCATTTAATTTAATTTAATTTAATTTAATTTAATTTAATTTAGAGAGAGTGAGCATGCATCCGTGAGCATCTGTGGAAGAACATGGCGTGAAGGGAAGGGGGAAGGGTGGAGGAAAAGGGAGAGAGAGAATCTTAAGCAGGTTCCATGCCCAGCTCAACACAGAGCTGGACTTGGGGTTTGATCTCACAACCGTGATATCATAACCTTAGCTAAAATCAAGAGTTGGACACTTAACTGACTAAGCCACACAGGCACCTCAGAAGGGAAGCAATTTAAATCAAAATCGGATTTTAAAAGGCCTGAGTGGGGATAGGGAAAATTTGTAAATAACATCTCAGGGATATGACAGTAAGCAGACTAGGAAACTCTAAAAGTCTAAAGAATAAATAGCCTGGTTTGTTCAATACAAAGTAATGTAAGAACTAAAAACAATGAAAGTGGACCCCTATATCAAGAAAATAAAAAATAAAAACTTGAGAGAGATTAACCAATTGCAATGTATGAGCTTTATTTTGGTGCTTATTCAAAACAAACTGCTAAAAGTATTATAATTTGGGAAATGTAGCTACTAACTGTTTTAAGGAAATACTGCTGACAAAATGTTAAGATACTGTAGAGCAAAGGGCTGGTGCAGCAGGCTTAAGGACCCTATCTTTAGAAAAGTCTGCTTGTGGGGCACCTGGGTGGCTCAGTCAGCTGAGTGGCTGACCCTTCATTTTGCCTCAGGTCATGATCTCAAGGTTTGTGAGACAGCCCCATGTTGGATTCTATACTGACAGTGCGGAGGCTACTTGGGATTCCCCCTACCCCTCTCTCTCTCTGTCCCTTTCCCACTTATGCTCTTTCAGTCTCTCTCTCAAAATAAAGAAAAAGAAAAGGAGAAAGGAAGGAAAGGGGAGAGAAGGGAAGAGAAGGAGGGAAGGGAAGGGAAGGAAAGGAAAGGAGGGAGAGAGGGAAGGAAGGAAGGAAGGAAGGGAAGGAAGGAAGGAGGGAAGTAAGGAAGGAAGGGAAGGAAGGAGGGAAGGAAGGAAGGAAGGAAGGAGGGAAGAAGAAAGAGAGAGGAAGGAAGGAAGAAGGGAGGGAAGGAGGGAGGGAGGAAGGAAAGAAAAGGAAAGGAAAGAAAAAGAAAAGAAAAAAGAAAAGAAAAGCCAAACCTGCTTGCCAGTTTGGCCCTTGGCCGGTGTCTTGCCATTTGGATTTCTGCAGGCAATCTGCCATTCTCAGAACTGATATGAGTTGGAACTCACTGTGCCTGTTTGTGACAGTCCATGTGATTTATGATGAAAACCTGTTTTCCTTCTGGAAGTCTAAAGAATTGGTATGTGCTAGACAGAGGGTGCCTCCATTCAAAATCCTGCATGTGCTGTGACAGCTTATTGCTGAGGAAATGACGTGTGTTTTATGTGACTCCATTGGGGAAAATTCTGGAAAGCTTGAGCCTGGTTTCCTCTGGACTTTGCCAATGCACCTTTTTCTTTGCTGATTTTGCTTTGTAATCTATGTACGTTGAGTCCTGTGGGTCCTCCTACTCAATTAGTGAGCCTGTGGTGGTCCTGGGGACCCCTGGCACAGAAGTGATATTAGTATAGTGTTTTGTTTTTGTTTTTTAAAGAATCCTTATATTTTGGAGATATGTATTAAAATACTTAAGAATAATAGATGAATCTCTGGGATATTTCCTTCAGAATAATCAGCAGATAGGGGTATAGATGAAACAAGATTAGCCATATATTGATAGGAGGTTCATTATAGTAGTCTCTCAGCCTGTGTATGTGTTTGGAAATTTTCATAACTGGAAAAAAAATCAACTCCAGTTCCTTTGTGACTTAAAGTGCCCATTCTTCTTTAGGTTTAGCCTTGTTTTGCTCAAAAATTCCTTCAACATACTTCATAGAAATAAAAGTAACATTCACTGAGGTGGGTACTTTTCATGATGTTTCATTTGTTTATAAAATACATGTAAGGAAGGTATTATAGGTTAGTTTTTGAAAAGAAGAAATTGATTGAGGCTCAGAAAGATGAAGCAAAAGGAAGGTAACTAGTAAATGGCAAAACAGGGGCTTCCCAGTAAGAAGGAAAGAAGAATATAGATACAAAGTAACAAATCTTTTGAAGACTGATTCTGGAGACAGAATCAGGAGTTATTTCCTGGCTCTGCAGTTTACTCCTGTGTGTTACTTCAACTCTGTTCAAAAAGGGAATTACACAAAAGAATCAAGAGGTAGTATACTTAAAATATCTAGTCCCTGGCCTATTAAAGCTCCACACAAGTCAATTATTTACCCTTATCCCTGAAACATGAAAAATACAATAAGCACTTTGGGCTCAAACAACAGAAGCCAGTTAGAATTATCTGGAGGAGGAGCATACCAAGGAATGATTTTTCTGTGTATACTATGAAAATACAGGACTCCTGAGTTCGTTTATCACTATGCACACATACATGGGTTTAAATTTTGCAAGAAATTATGTGTAGTCAAGCACAGCAGAAAAAAAGTAAACACACACAGACCCACAGGCACATACACACAGAGACAAATCTAAACTCTGTGGCTTTAATCCAAAGTACCTAATGTTCCTTAAAAATAGTACCTATTTTAGGCACTATTTGTACTCCTATGTAGTAAGTCCCAGCCCACATGTAGAAACTTAGTTTACGTACAGGGAACTGGTGTCCGGCAGAGTTGAAAGAGGAGAAAAATGAACAGCCTTGAAGGAGGTTAGGTTTACCCGTAACCGCTTTGAATTGGCAACAGCTTTGGAAACATCATATAATTCACTCTGAAGCCCTGTACATGGTAAGACATGATGGAAAATGTGGGTGTTTTATTTGAAAACACAAAAATGAAATTTGTTGCAGTATTTTTATACTAATTATCATCAATACCACCAGTTTGCCACCTTGTATTATCCCAACCACTATATACTTATATATAAATTATTACAGCTACTCCCTGCCTGATTTTCAAACATTGTGTGGGATTTTCAAATCCCTTTCATATTGTTCATCATGATCATGATCTCCCATGAACATTTCTGATGAGAATATCCCTTGGAAATTTAGAATTACTTGTGGGATTTTCTTGATTTTTCTGACTTTCCAGACTGATCTTAAACACCTTAAGGTAAGAGAAATTTTATAACTCTAAAAGTCTACAATCTACTATACAGCTAGAAGTATAAAAGAACTCACATTTATTTGGCATGACATTCTGACTTAAAGACTTTTCCAGCCTCTTGCCTTAGATGCCCATTACAGAAATATCAAAGTATAGGGGCGTCTGGGTGATTCAGTGAGTTGAGTGTCTGACTCTTGATTTCAACTCAGGCCATGATCTCATGGTTCGGGAGATGGAGCCACACGTCAGGCTCTGTGCTGACAGTGTGGTGTCTGCTTGGGATGCCCTCCCTCCCTTTTTCTCTGCTCCTCCCCTACTCATGCTCAAGCTCTCTCGCTCTCTCTCAAAATAAATAAATAAACTTAAAAAATATATCATCAATAACAAATTCCCCCCAAAGGAATATCAAGGTACCAACTTACTGTTGCTGAGATTTATTCTTTTTTTTTTTTAAAGTATTTGGACCATGCATATTTTTTTTTAATTTTTTTAATGTTTTTTTTTTTTTTTCTAGGAGAGAGAGAGAGAGAGACAGCGTGAGAAGGGGAGGGTCAGAGAGAGAGGGAGTCACAGACTCTGAAACAGGCTCCAGGCTCTGCCTGGCCGCCAGCACAGAGCCCAACATGGGGCTCGAACCCACAAACCGCGAGATCATGACCTAAGCGAAAGTCGGACGCTTAACCGACTAAGCCACCCAGGCGCCCCTGCTGAGATTTATTCTAAACTTAACTCACCTGTATCCTACACATTTATCACAGCTATACTATATTACCTATAAAGCTTTATTCGGCCCTTGCCATATGTAAAGCCCTATGCTGGGCACTGTGTCACAGTGAAACACGAATGGTACGGTCTCTGTTCATCAGTGACGGAGCTCATCGCATGAAATGTTAGCTTCTGTTTACTGAGAACTGACTTGCTCTGCTTCTCCAAAATCCTATTGGCTCTATCCTTTCCAGTCTGGGTCCTGATTAATTGGATCCCCTCAAAATTGACTTTCCCAGTTCCGTCCATATCTAATGGCTTGTTCCCTCCTTCCAATAAGTCACTTCTTCTTGAAGAACACATAAATGTGGGAACGGGAAGTCACAGTCTGGTATCAGAGTCTTGGCTCCTCCCTCAGGGCATTAAGTCTAAGAAAAGATAAGCAGGTCTTCAAGTTAATGCTATTAAAAATCATAGATGCTGTGGCTAGAATCCCATATAATATCCCTGAATTACATGTAAGTAATTCAAGAGACTTTGAGGGAAAAAATAGCTTGTACTAACCAACGGTATGGTAGTTCAAACAGAATTTCTTTTTCCTAAATTAGACTGAACTAATTCTTTATGAAATTTAGACTAACATCTCTTGAAAAGCCTTTTTAAATTATAAGATGCAACAGAGAAAAATATGTAACAAATGTATAGCTTAATGATTATATATTTTAACTACTACTAAAGCCACAAAAAATAGAAATTTACTTACGCCGTTCTATTTACTACTCTCCCAATCACAATTCCCTCGCTCTCCCCTAATAACAAACATTATCATAATTTTTGTGGCAATCACATCTTTGTTTTAAGTTTTATTATGCAAGTGTGAGTCCTTAAGCACTATTCTAAGATTTTGTCCACTTTTTGTGTGGTAAATACTTTAATTTACAGGTTTTCTTTCAATGCCTAGCTCCCCTACACCCACCTTTAAAAATTCTTTCAATTTATTTGTAAAGAATCCAGTTTGCTAGGTAGGATTTCCATAGTTTGGAGTCTGTTGATTATCCTTCCATGGTGTTGTTGACCATGTCCTTCTGTCCATTGTATAGATTACCATTTTAACAAATGACTTTCTACTTTCTCACAGAAGGAATGCTCACTAATTGTCCTGCCTTTGTCCATCCTACCTCCTTCGAAAGGGAGGAGTTGCTCATTGGCTAAGACAAAACTCAGGCCACTTATCACAGTTGATTAGAGTCTAGTTCCAGCAGGGAACTAGAGGCTTCTGAAAGTTTTAGGTTAGTGCTTATGTCAATGAGCTCTCATGTCCCTGCAGCTAGTAGTGAACAAAAGGGCCTGGTCTGTCTGTCTGCTGCATATTTCTTTGTTCCCTGCCTTTGCATGGCCAACACAAGGAATTTGGCTCTTCCTAGTAGGTTAGTGGGTTAACCTTGATTTAATATTGTTTACGGATTGCTCTTATATTCAAAATGACAACAAAGGCATTCCTAGGCAGAGTATGCTGTTGCATACACCCAGCACTGAAGGGGCTCCATAGCCTACTGCCTAACCTATCTGGCAGCCCAACAGTGGCTCTGTGGCATAAGTTAAAAGATTGACCATTTCTATGGCAGTAGATAGACTTTTGAAATTGTTCATGATTTGGAGATGTTATGGAAGCAGCACTTTTTTAGGTGCTCTGATTAAAAATAGGTAAAGATACTGATGACTTCTCAAAAGCTATTCAGTATTCCAAAGTGAAGGGCCCCTGGGTGGCTGAGTCAGTAAAGTGTCCAACTTTAGCTCAGATCATGATCTCACAGTTGTAGATTTGAGCCCCACATTGGGCTCTGGGCTGACAGCTCAGAGCCTGGAGCCTGCTTCAGATTCTGTGTCTCCCTCTCTCTGTGTCCCTCCCCTGCTCATGCTCTGTCTGTCTCTCTCTCAAAAATAAATAAACATTAAAAAATCAATATTCCAAAGAGAATTTTATAGTTCTTACCATAGAAGCCTATAGCTAAGAGGCCACATCAGAAGCCAAAGGTGATGCCTGCACTGATTACATACTAAATGAGGGGTCTTTACCACTCCAGCTATTTTAGGTGCTATTAACTTACATCTGTCCCATCAAACTTCAGGAAAGATGGTTGTGTCAATTTAAATGACTATAAGTGACTCACCCTTCTGGGGGAAAAATACTGGCAATTACAGGGATGTTCTCTTCCTAATGATGGGTTCAGGTGATCTGAGGATAGTAGGTCTATAGCACCATAATGTATATGGTTACTGTCATGATTTTTCACACTAAGGAAGAGATATACTCATTTTCACATCAAAGTAATAATGATGAACAAATTTTCCTAGGTTGCTTAAGTAAGTGGTAGAACCGTGTCTCACTTCCAACCAACTGGGGTAAATCTGTAAAGACAGGAGACGGTTTAGAACTTCCATAGTAAGGTCTTTTTGAGCATTTCCAAATGGATTTTACAAAACACCCCAAGTCTTTGGGTTATGAATATGCATTAGTCATTGCTTGAAGGTTGGAGGGAGTAGTTAAGCTGTCAGAGTAGTAGGGAGACCCTGGGTTTGCCTTGTCCCTCAAACACAGCTAGATCAACATCAAACCATGTGAACACTTAGGACGTCATTGTTTGTAGGCAGACAAACTTTTCCTTGTGAGAGGGCTTCAGCTGTTTGTTGCCGAAAAAGATTATCAGACTTTATATTTCTAACATGGGGGACCCTGTCTTCCTGTCAAATGATCAAGAAACTCATTTTCAAAGAAATAGGTAGAAACAAACTTTTTTGACTATATCACCCACCAATCATGAAAAGCTGAAAAAGTGATATAATGAAGCTGAAATCATCCATCTACACTATTAGAAACTCTTTTTTTAAAAAAATGCTTATTTATTTAATTTTGAGAGATAGACAGCAAGCAGAGAAGGTGCAGAGAGAGAGAGAGAGGGATAGAGAACCCAAAGCAGGCTCCGTGCTGTCATCACAGAGCCCAACACAGGGCCCGAACCCATGAACTGTGAGATCATGACCTGAGCCAAAACCAAGATACTGAACTGACTGAGCCACCTAGTCACCCCCATCACACTTTTAGAAGCTCTTAATGTAATTTTGCCTTGGCCAAAAGTTCTTCCACTAGCATCGATAACCATGCAGTTATCTACTCAGAGCTCAAATATACTTTTTTTTTTTTTTTTTAATGTTTTATTTATTTCCAGGAGAGAGAGACAGCGTGAGCAGGGGAGGGTCAGAGAGAGAGGGAGTCACAGACTGAAACAGGCTCCAGGCTCTGAGCTGGCAGTCAGCACAGAGCCCGACGCGGGGCCCGAACCCACGAACCGCGAGATCATGACCTAAGCGAAAGTCGGACGCTTAACCGACTAAGCCACCCAGGCACCCCAAATATACTCTTATCTTACTAACTCATGCCAGGATATCCTATGCAGATCAGTTAACTATCTCTTTCCAGAATCATTTGCTTCAGCAAGAAGAGAAGACCTACCTATTGGCTTATACTTAGAGTCATTTTAAAAGATTGTGACAGGAAATGATTAAGAGTAATAAAAATATGTTGATACTCACTGATATCCATATTATAGTCACAGTGGGGGGAAAATGTCACTTAAAAGCAGTCCCATTTAAATGGTCTCTGCACACCCGAAAGGTCAAGCCTCATTAGGAGTAAAACATGAGTGTTCTTACCAAGCTGTAATATATAAATTGTAACTACATGAAATGTATATATATGTATATATATATACATATATATATGAATTTGTGCACTTAATATAGGACATATCTATCTATCTATCTGACATATATGACAAAAATGAGAACAAAAAAGACTGCCTAGAGTCACACTTGATCTTACCTTGTATTTGAAAAACTTGATCCCAGTTGATAACATCATGTTCTTCCAAGAGCTGTTGGTAAGCCCTGACATCCTTGTAGAACACAGCATAGGCATTAGTATAATGGTCCAGGTAGTCTGTCTCTGCCTAGGATGGAAGACATAATCATAAAAACACAAATACATCCTCTAGGTCACTCAAATCCTATAGACACTAGATACCATTAGTTGCATATGTCTAGATCATTCCCAGTACCAAAATTAGCCATCTATAAACAATGGCTAGATGGGAATGTGGCGAATATACTATAGCAAGGGAAATAACAGAAATTTAGGAGATTTTACTTGATATTTCTTCTGGTATTCAGGAGGTTTTAAGATATTTCACATTTTTCTGGGATATTCTTTATTTATAAAAATAAAATGAGTACAACTTAATCGAGCTGCCTACAAGAATCGAACAGAACTCTCAGAACTTTCCTAGTGTGGTCAGAGCAGCACGCCTTTGATCATGGGAGCTTCTCTTTGGTCTTGAGGCAGAATAGGACTGATGTTATCCTTTTCAACATTCTTAGATTTTTCTCCAGATGACCTAAAGTCATTGGTCACAAGGAATCATCAAACCAGGGGAAAAACTAGTATGCACAAGTATGTATGCTTCATGCTTCTAGAGATTATGAAACTCTACAGAAGCACTTAATTGAACACATTTAGATTAATGGTTTTCCATATGTCTATAACTCCAAATATTAGAAACTAGTGGTGACATATGTAGCGTGTTAAGCTAACATTTATGGCTATGATAGTTATATCACCTTTACCTAATCTTTTCTTTCTTAGTTAATGTCAACTCTTACAGTTTTAGGCCTTTCAAATCTGTACCTCTTTCTGGCGCCGGGTGATAACAGCTTTGAAGTCTGGCCATGACTCCACTACCACTTCCTTTTGAAAGGGATTCCCACGATTTATGTTCATCACAGCTCCATAAACCTGAGCCAGAGAACCCAGAGAGACAAGCCAATCACATTACTAACTCTTCCAGTTGCAGGTTACCATTTTCACTTCTTCTACTGTATAATTGAGGCACGAGAAGGGAAATTATAAATATGTACACACATATATACAACATGCACACATACAAACTTTTGTTATTTCATCACTGTACATGAAAACTGATAGTCTATGAAAGCCTATGAAAACATTCCCCAAACTTAGGTTTTTACTGCACAGCAGTGAGAGGTACCAAAACAACAGGGTGAGTAGATGGGTGCTTGGCACACAGGCCAGTGATAAATACTTACAGAATGAATTGGAATCTGATGTATGGATTTAGGGCTTATATATGTTTTAAAAATTCCACAGATATGGGGTGCTTGCATGGCTCAGTCAGTTAAGCCTCCAACTTCAGCTCAGGTCATGATCTCACACTTTGTGGGTTAAAGCCCCGCGTCAGGCTCTGTGCTGACTGCCAGCTCAGAGCCTGGAGCCTGTTTAAGATTCTGTATCTCTCTCTGACCTTCCTCTGCTCACTCTGTCTCTCTCTCTCTCAGAAAAAAATAAAACATTAAAAATATTTTTAAAAAATTCCACAGATAATTTTGATGCTCAGGTACTTTTGAAGTTTATTATACTATCTGAAAATAACCTGTTAAATGCAACTACTCTTTTAATCCTGAATTACAATTAAACATCACTGAGGGTAGCCCCCTTTCCAAATAAAAGACCCCTACATTTCAGATTTGATGGAGCAAGGCTCTATAAGCATTCCATGAGGGTCGTAACTATGTCTCATTCATTATTATATCCATGGAGTCTCATAGGGTGGATCAATGGCTTGTTGACTAAACAGTACTGAATATTAGAATTCTTTTCTGTGGCCTTTCATATTTATTCTCCACCAAGAATCAAAGATGCCTGCCCTATAAAACAGCTTCCATATGTTATGTGTGTAGCTTATAGAGAAGAGAAGGTTGTGGTGTCAACAAGGAGAGCAGAGCTGGTGCTCATAGCAGCATCTTCATAACAGATAAAAACTGGAAACAACTGGGGTGCCCACCAACAGTAGAAAAAATGAACGAATTTTGCCATATTTATACTCTGGATTACAAAAAAAGAAACTTAATGTTGAGCTAAAGAAGGTAGACACCAAAAGATACTTACTGTGATCCAATGTACATTACATTCAAAAGCAGACAAAACCAAATTATGGCTTTAGAAGTCAAGATAGTGATTGCTTTTGGGGAGCAGGGAAAGGTAGTGTTTGGAAAGGAGCTTTGCAGGGTAGGGAGAAGCATGCCTGAAGTAATGTTCTTTCTTGACTGGAGTGCAGGTTATATAGATATTTGCTCAGTGGAAACTCATTGAGGGGCGCCTGGGTGGCTTAGTCGGTTAAGCGTCCGACTTTCGCTTAGGTCATGATCTCGCGGTTCTTGGGTTCGAGCCCCACTTCGGGCTCTGTGCTGACAGCCAGCTCAGAGCCTGGAGCCTATTTCAGAGTCTGTGTCTCCCTCTCTCTCCGACCCTCCCCTGCTCACGCTCTCTCTCTCTCTCTCCTAGAAATAAATAAAAAAAAATAAAAAAAAAAAAAGAGAAACTCATTGAGCTACATAATTATTTACACTTTCTAATATGTGTTATACTTCAGTGAAAACCAACTTAAATTCTAAGGACATTGGAACCTACATTTTACCTCTTTCATCACATCTTGATTCAAATCACTCCCCTCAATGACTACAACATTATTCAGCTCCCTTCTGTCTTACCAAGTCTGGGACCTCACTCAAATCTTCTCATAGACTGTATCTTTACAAATTTAGTCTGGCTAATACTAATGTGCGACATGGATCACAGTGAAAATCTGAAAAGTAAAGCAACCTGGAAGGGTCATGCTTGTTCCATTAATCATTAAATTCTGGGGCTGCTGATCTTACAATATATAGGCATACGTTTATTAAAATGTTTATTTCCATGAAGAAACCATACATCTTTATTCCAAAATGGAACTTAAATATGCTTGGAATGTTTAGAAGGTTAAAAGGGAAAATATCTCTCCAATATTCAGATTGTGAACGAAAAAAATCCCCAACATGACTTGTTTGTAAGAGATTTGCAACCAACTGCAAGATTTCACATTGGTTGAAAACTAAGAAACAAACTCTTCTAACAGCTGTTTATTTGAAAGGTGAGTGTTGAGAGGAGGGGGGAAGTAGCTAGAGGAAGTAAGGATGCTGGAGGAATGAGCAGTTGGAGTTTGTGGAGAAAATTTGGAGGGACAGTTAATCACTGAAATACTAAGATGAGGTAGCTAGGGGGATGGGTAAAATAGGTGATGGATATTAAGTAGGGCACTTGTGAGGAGCACTGGGTGTTGTATGGAAGTGTGGAATCACTAAATTGTACACCTGAAACTAATATTACACTGTATATTAACTAAGTGGAATGTAAATAAAAACCTAAAAAAAGAAAAAAAAATGAGATTATAAAATACATAGCCATACCCTACAAAAAAAATGGAGGAAGCATGTATACAACAAGACTATTTTCTCTTTATCTTTTTTATTCTCTAAAGGGCACAGTGTAACTGAAGGGGCATTCTGAAAGTAAGGTCACAGAACCCAAGCCAGGCATTGCATAACAATGAAATAATTGAAGTAAGATAAAGAGAGTAAAAGATAAAGAGACTTTAGTGTATAGAAAGCAAGACATTGAGAGTGCCAAGCTAAGCAGCTTTTAAAGAGATTATACAAGGAAGACATTGATTTGTGCCTACAGGCTTCATTTCTTTAACTCTTATTTCAAATGGTGTTATGAGATGCAAATATTATGGATTTAAATCTGAACTCTAGCACTTAGATATGGGGAAGGGATTTAGTAACATCATCTGCAAAATCATAATTAAATACCTGCCTATTCAGAGTATTAATATTCCAGAGGGATTAATAAACTTTTTAAATCTCAAATGAGATCGTGTGAAAGATATTTTGAAAAAGGATACATATCATTCAGACCAACTCAACTAATCTGAACTCAGAGGTCCTTAAAAAATGAGATTTGAAGAGGTGGGGGTTAATAAGTAATTATTTTATAATGTTGCCAGTGACCAAACAAAAAAGTTTATTGAGTAATTATTTTGAGCAAAGCCCCATGGCAAGCACTGTATGAACAAGGAGTCCAAAAAAAGTAAAAACAAAACAAAACAACACATCTACCCTTAGGCATCTGGTAGCTAAGTCGCTATGGGAGAAGCAGTAGATATGAAATCAAAGGAACTGAGAACTGGGTTTTAACTGATTCTTTATTTGCTTTAATCTTTTTTTGGACTCCATCTTAATTCATTTTTAAAATGGATTAGAGGGTTCCTGAGTGGCTCAGTCAGTTAAGCATCCAACTTCGCCTCAGGTCATGATCTCCCAGTTCGTGGGTTCAAGCCCTGCGTCGGTCTCTGTGCTGACAGGTAGCTCAGAGCCTGGAGACTGCTTCAGATTCTGTATTTCCCTCTCTCTATGACTCTCCCCTGCTCACACATACTCTCTCTCAGAAATAAACAAAAACAAAAACATTAAAGCAGATTAATAGACATTTTACAAAGCTGGTGGAAGGATAAAATAAATTGGAAATATCTGTATGCTAAAGTACTATCCAAATATGATATTTATAATATAGGGGCCCATCCTTTGTCTTGATGATTATAACATCTTGGATGACCCTGTGAAGGTTAGCAAAACCTTTTTAGTTCTCTCCGGCAAAAGAGTTGGCCAAACATTTATTCATTTTGGTGTCTGCATTCAGAATGGGGAATTTTGAGGCAGATTGTCCATTTGATACTCTTTTAGCCATAAGATCACAAATTATCATCACTCAGATTTTCTCTATCGCGCATAGTTAAAGCATGATCAGTAGGGCAAGATGACTAGATTTCATCAACCCAGTACAGTGCTCCAGTGTGTGTACTAAAAAATACAGCTCCCTGGTCTCCATCCTTAGAAATCCTGTTTCATTATATCTCTTCTGGACTATCAGCATGCCACTCACATTTGCAGTCAAGTGCTCTACCATCGAGCTATAACCTTGCCACTCACATTTGAAAACCACTGTTGTAGGGCTATCTCCTTGGTCAAGAAACTCAGCCTTCAAAGACAATTTCTTTGCATTTTGCATTTTTTCTCCAAGTGCTTCAAATGTTTTAATCTCACATTTATTTGTAATCTTTGATTAATGTCATCTTCCATAGTAGGTCTGAGCAGGCCCTCATGGACTTTGAGAAGACTTTGACAAATAGAGGTCATTTTAAGGCCATTGTAAAGAAACTTCAAAAATAATGATCTTGAAGTAATCAGAAAAATTTTATAATGACCCCTGAACCTCAGCTTCATCGTGAACCTAGGTTATGTTCTTGTGAGCAATACCACTTAATCCATACCCTTCTGCCATTAAAAAAGTTCAAAATTCGATTTTACCTTAGAAATAATGTAGTCCAGTACCCCCTCTATTTTCCTAGACATCATCTAAAGTGGCCGTCAAAAATATAATTACCTGGGCCATATCTACAATGCAGGGGATCAGTCTCTAGCAGGAGGGGACAGGGAAACCATATGTTTAATAAGTGCTCCAAGAAAGTCTTGACATCAGAAAAATTTGGGAAACAGCCACAAGTCTGACATTATTTCACAGATTAATAAAAGGAAGAAATAAAAATCAAACTCTTAAATGTGTAATACCTTGAGCGACTCAGGAAAGTAACTCTTCAACATTTTTTCCAGTGTCAGTAATTTGGTAGAACAGTTTAACACCAACATCTTCTGCAGAGCTCTAACAATTCCACACCTAATGAAAAATTTGAAGGCATATGTTTAATTTTTGCTTGTTAACATTGAATCTCCTAAGGAGTATCCTTGAAATCCTCTTTTCACCAGGTATACTTTGGAATGTTGTAGCTCCCTCGGAAGAGGGAAGGAAAGGACAATGAGGGCCACTGGAGTGTGTAACTCAGAGAACATGTAGTAATAGAGAATGTTAATGACCTAATCCTGGAAAGAGGTGAGTATCTATACTGGGTTAAGCCTTCTTATTATACATATTCTCTGTGATCAACTCGTCCTTTAGGGCACGTAACAGTTGTGATTTCACATTTGTTTGTGTTTTCATTAAGTCTGTCTCAAGTAGACTGTGATCTGCAAGAAGGAAGGCAGCGTGAGGCACTTGGGTGTCACAGTCAGTTAAGTGGCCAACTTCGGCTCAGGTCATGGTCCCGTAGATCATGAGTTGGGAGCTCAGGCCTTCCTCTGTCTCCCTCTCTCTCTCTCTCTCTCTCTCCCCTCCCAACTTGCTCTATCTCTCTCTCTCTCAAAAATAAATACACATTAAAAAAAAAAAGGAAGAAAGGAAGGGCTCATACCTGCTTTGTGCTCCAGTATCCCCCAGCACCTACATGGCCTGGCACATAGTAAAGACATTCTAGGTAGTTGCTGAAAGGATGATAGGAAGCTCAGAGTAAGAATCATAGGGTTAAGTAGGGAAACTTCTTTTTACGATGTGGGGCAAAGACCAGAGGAAGACTTGAACGGGTCAAGTGTCGGGTGGTTATGAGGAACAACTTGCATAGAAACATCTAGATTGAAGATGAAGAATCAGATGTGAGCAAAGGCTGAGGTTCATTTTATTTATTTTTTATTTATATTTTTAATGTTTGTTTTGGAGGGAGAGCAGGAGAAACAGAATCTGAAGCAGGCTCCAGGCTCTGAGCTGTCAGCACAGAGCCTGAAGCAGGGCTTGAACTGTGAGATCACCACCTGAGCTGAAGTTGGACGCTTAACTGACTGAGCCACCCAGGTGCCGCAGGCAGGCTCATTTTAGTGAGATAAAATTAAGGAATGGAAAAAGGGCCTTAATATAATGTATGCAATTCAACCATTCATATGTAATTATATTTTCTAGATTTGGGGGGCTCCATATCACCTGATTTTTGTCCCCAAGAAAATTTTGTTTCCCAGCATTCCAATCAGGTTTTGGCTGAAATAAAAAATATATTTCTTTTTTTTCCGTATTCAGTGTAGTAGAGATTACCTACTTGCTCTTAGCAGCCAGGCACTAGGTTGGTAAAGATAATTCAGCTCAACAGGGGAAGCTGGTGCTTCTGGGATTGTGGTGGACTGTTCCTGTACAATACATTTCCAGGCAGAGAAAGCTACTATTTGATTTCCTTATGTGGCAGCTTTCTGTGACTATAAGATACTCAGAGTTTGATTATGATTTACCTAAAATCCACCATAAAACTCTACATATAGTTTATGTGAGTCTGAACTTCTAAGAATCATATTTTTTTGTGATCAGGCCCTATGGACACCAGTTAGCTGAGTGGTACCTCTGAGGTATTTGTATTCTCTATGGGAGTCAGAAGAGATACTAAGGGCCAGCACTAGACAAGCAGGCTTCTGGACCATAGTCTAGTACTCATAGTCTGGGTCAATATTAGAAGCTTGGCAGAAATCGAGAGTTTCTAGCGTTCAGGTGTAGTAAAAGCAGGAGAGGTTGAGCCATCATCTTGTCACCCTTGTATCTGCTTGACTTTTCACTCACTCATGCTCTCTCTAAGTAAAATTTTAACTTCTTAATAGATCCTTATGTTAAATATATCAATTTATTCTAATGAAATATTTTTGAGAGAAAATGAAATAAAACTATTTCATAGAGGAACTGATCATGTATCTCTTAGTAATAAGAGATGCTTTTGATGTCTAAAGATGTTTTTGTGTCTTTACACATCTTAGCTAGTAGCTAAGTAGCTAGTGCAAACAGTAGGAATTCTAAGTACTTGTTGATGATTTGATTATTTATTGCCTGATTTGTTCTCCAGAGGGTCTAAAACCACTTATACACAGGTAAAATATATGAAGAAAAATTAAGTTTAAAATTCAGGCAAGGGGAAAATAGAAGTAAAAAAGTAATATGGGGTAAAGAGTGAGACCAGGGGCGCCTGGGTGGCTTAGTCGGTTAAGCGTCTGACTTTCGCTTAGGTCATGATCTCGCGGTTCGTGGGTTCGAGCCTCGCGTCGGGCTCTGTGCTGACTGCCAGCTCAGAGCCTGGAGCCTGTTTCAGTCTGTGACTCCCTCTCTCTCTGACCCTCCCCTGCTCACGCTGTCTCTCTCTCTCTCTCTCCTAGAAATAAATAAAACATTAGAAAAAAAAAAAAAAAGAGTGAGACCAGTAGGCACAGCATATGGATACAGTCCTACATATAGAGTTCATCCTCTTTATTTGTGGATTCCATATTTATGAGTTCACCTACTTGCTCAAATTTATCTGTAACCTCCAGAATCAATATTTACAGTACTTTCTCAGTCATTTGTGAGATGGCCCCAAGCAGAGTACAGTAAAACCTTGGTTTGTGAGCATAATTCATTCTGGAGACATGCTTGTAATCCAAAGCACTTGTATATCAAAGAGAATTTCCCCAAAAGAAAGAATGGAAACTAAGATGATTCATTCCACAACCCCAAAATATTCATATAAAAATGATTACAATACTGTAATATAATACAAAACAATAAAGAAAATACAAAATATAAAGAAAAATAAACATCAATCCCCACTTACCTTTGCAAACCTTTGTGGCGAGTATGAGGAAGATGAGAGGCGGGTTACTGTGTAGGACAACTTTCACTCTCGCTAACAGATATTGACTACAGTACAGTATTAATAAACTCTTGTCATATACTGTATTTAATGTACCTGCAATAAGGCAGCAGAGGAAAGGGGCTATATCTGCAGGCAGCCTGACCTAGAATGAAGCAAAGCATTCATATGCTTCTTCTTATATGGAAAAGTAAAAGACTGTTCATAGGTGCTTTGAAGTGACTAAAAGTATACTAGTGCCAGCTGTGGGCACCTTCCAATGTTCTGAAAAATCACTGATTTCTGCCAAACACCATGGCCTGAGAGCGAGCATCCAAGCATGGGAGATGATCACCCAAAATCCTGCAGTGAGCAAGAGAGAGAAGAACCCTTGGCTCAGTGGTGATCATGTGATGTTCAGCATCCCATACTACTTGTATTGCAAGACATCGCTTGTTTATCAAATTAAAATTTATCAGAAATGTTTGCTTGTCTTGTGAAACACTCACACAACAAGTTACTCGCAATCCAGGGTTCTACTGTACTTAGGTGCTGCCTCATGGTCCTAAGTGCAAAAAGACTGACGTGTCTTGCCAAGAAAATACATGTGTTACATAAGCTTTCTTTGGGCATGAATTATAATGTTCTTCACTGTGAGTTCAATGATAATAAATCGACAATACATATTAATGTCTTTAAGCAGAAATACACATAAAACATTATACGTTGATCTGCCGATAAAAATGTGATCTGAGGTTTCAGGAACCTAATCTTATATTTTCCCTGGAAGCAATGTTTCAGAACTCACTGTGACAGTGTTCCTGTGAGTTTATTAAACATAGCTACCACAAACAATGCAGATCAAGTGTACTCACAGTAGGTGATTTGTACCTTAAGCTTTCTAGCAGATAACACAAGAAAAAACAAACATGAGTAGTTACATGATTCAGTTTGTCCATAAAATTATCCATATGTTCTTTACCATAGCATTTGCTTGACTTTTCACTTGTACTATCACTAAATGAAGTTCCCTAAGTTCTAAATTATGAAAACCCTCCTCTACCTGGCTTCAGTATACCTTTATAGACTAAGAAGCTCTTTCAATTCACAAATTACACAGAGTGACAAATACTGGTGATATTAAAATCAGAGAGACATCTCTCCCATGGGTGAACACAAAGAGGGCACTATAATTACACCACCAGACAATGTTCTTTCAGTAAACAATGATGAATTTCATGAGGATCTTTCTTTTATGAAATACAAAGATATTTTTTAAAGGCCACAAAACAGAATATGGACATTCTCATAGATGCAGAAAACATATTTTATAGATTTTTGAATTATATTAGAAAGTCATAATGACAACCATTAATTATAAAGCTACAAGGTCAGAATGTCATAACCTCACCGAGGTTTATCAATTATAGTTTCTCCACAATTCATATGTTTTCTAGAATTGGAAGGAGAAGATTTGTAATTGCTTTGGCTGAACTTTTATCAATGATGGACTCAATAACTGAAATCTTTGTCAAGGAAAATATTTTACTCATTTTAAGTTTTAGAAACCGAAGTTTCTTCCAGACACTTAAGTGTCCATCAGCACATGACAAGCACCTAAAATATTTTATTAATATTAATCAGCAACAAAAGCATAATCTCCTGAGAGAACTTTCTTATAATAAAGATCTCTGTTTTTATAAGGTAATATACCACTTACAATACAATGGTGGATGTTTGTTAATGAAGAAAGAAATTTTTTAAAGCAGTTGTGATCCAATGATTGTAATTATTTTTCAGATGATAGGTTTTCTTGTTTAGAGATTCCTCCTTACCTGTTTCTCTAGTCATGCCCCTATCAGTGCAAATAATTTTATATTTTGTAATGCTTGTTTTCCACATATCAAAATTTACAACAGGAAAACAAAAAGACCAAAAAACAAAAGCATATTTTTCTGTAAACCTGATTATGTTTTATTCCTCCTATATAATGCTGAATTTCACCTCCCCCCTGTATTTTTCCCATTTCTTCTTACAATTATAATTAATGATTGGAAACTTATGATTTTAATGAACAAATGCTTACCTGATGTTGAGAGTTCAGTTTGTATCAGGACAGTGGTTCTTTTCCAGTAATTGGTGAGTTATTCTTCAAGCCTACTTCCCTAATTAATCCTTAGTGGA